ACATATTATTGATTTGATATTACAAAGTAATTATTTCTTAATTAAAATCCTGTATTTATCATTTGTCTTTCTTGGAGAACAAGAAAATTTTATTACTTCATTGATGTTTCATGTATGTTCACTTCAATTGATGGTCAATGAATGTTCATTTAATGATTATCATCGTAATTTCACATACGAACTTAAGTTAAGTCTTTTACATCTTAGTTCATGTCAATCTATTGTTATTTCAAGTCTTATATCATCTTCATCTGTTACTAAAGATGATTTCATTAATCAAATAATTAATCTTCAAGAAGCTTTCAAATTACTTTGCACAGCTTATATTGCAACTTTTCGTCTTCAAGTTAAATATGTACTTGAATTTAAAACAACAATTCAATCTGAAGATTATCTCTCACATGCATTTTTTCTCTTTCAAATTGGTACTATTGTACAACTCTTGACACAAATAATGACAAACAATAATTGGAAAAAACATATTTCAAAAATATCTAAAAAGAATACAATAAATTTAAAAGAACAATTGAAATTACAATGGCCACGTTTATTATCATCTTTGAAGAGTATGGTCATTATTGGAGTTGGTTTAATCTTTGTATTAGTATCTCGTTTAGCAGCAGCATTTGAAAATGGACAATGGATTTTAGTTACTCTTTGTATGACACAAGGTGATAGTGTAGGTGAAGCATTTACAACAACGAAAATAAGACTTATGGGAACATTACCTGGTATATATATATATTTATATTAGAAACATTGATTTGCGTTCGATAAAAGATTTTCTTTTGTTGTCTAGGTGCGATATGGGCATATGTAACATATTTGTCAGTTCATGATAACGTATATCAAACATTGGGAATGTTATCTCCATGGATTTTTGTATTCAGTTGTTTGAAATTATTACCTAATTGGGGGTATACAGCTATTGTAGCTGCTTTTACACCAGTCTTGATCAATTTGGGTTGATTACCATATGGAAATGCCTTACCCGCTGGTAATTATGCTCTTCTACGAATTGAAGAAAGTTTACTAAAAGATAATATTCAAAGTAAATGTTGATTTAAATATTAAATAAAAGAATCTTTTTTTTCTTTATATAATTTTAGGTACACTTACAATATGTCGACAAAGTATTATTTCAATGCATTCAATTTATGATCAATTATTTCATCATAATCATTCTCGTGAATCTATTATTCGTCTTGAATTAGAACAACAAAAAATTGAATCATTTATTGATGTTCAACGAAGTTGTTTTCATCACTTAATTAGTCTTCAACGAACTCTAGTTGAACATGCATCACTTGAACCAACTTTTTGGTGGATTAATAATAATTTCTCAACAAAATATTATAATGTGCTTATTCAACAACAAATTAATATATTTAAAATGTTACATAATATAGATGCAACAGTGAAGAAATGAACATGATCGATTATTTATTTATTTATTTATTTGTTTTTATTTAGTTAATGAGAATTAATGAATATTCACAACGTATTGAACATCTTCAATTGGATGCTGCTGATGGTCATTTTCCTCCAAATCTTCATCGAGGATTTTCTGATTTAAGTAGACAATTGAATGATTGTTTTCATTTATCGATATCTT